AATGTATTTCCAAAGGGTGTTGCAGCAAGGAAACTAACTGTGTTAACAGCTGTTAAATTGTTTAATTCCACTATTTATCCTCCACACAACTAAAAGGGACCTCTCCATGCAGTGCCAAATCAGACAAACCATTTCTAACTTAATATAGGCTTGAGCTGTAGCTGAGCAGAGTTGCACAACAATATCATCTGTCATTGAGACATTTCTATAAGCATGGTGAGGAGGTGGATGAAAGGAAATGTAAAATATAGGCAGAGTGGTATAGGTCTTATCACTGGCTGATAATGGTCTATATGTACTTGACTAAAATTTATGGGACACAAATTTATGGTTCATAAACTATAGTACACAAACCTTTAAGTGCCTCCATTTGTTAATGCCACTGTTGACTGCTGTTCACTTTACATGGTTCAAATGTTATTCTGTTATAGTTTACTAAATATTTTATTACACTATTTGGTTCAGAATATATTTTCCCTGTTTTCCTCCTCTAAAAATTAGGTATGTCTTAGGGTCAGGTGTGTCTTATGGAGCAAAAAAGACGGTAGTTTGTGAAATGGTATTGTCAGCCTTATTTTAGAAAAAACACTGTTTAAATATTAGGCTAAGAGAAATGGTATTGTCAGTCTTATTTTAGAAAAAAAACACTGTTTAAATATTAGGCTAAGACATGGAATGTGAGGCAAGGCCTCTTAAGGCAGAGAGAAAGGGGGGTCTTACAGCAGGGCTACATGGAAAGGAACTTTATGAAGGAAGAAACAAAATAATGTTTTAGCTAATCAGCCAATTCCCAGTTCTTTTAGTTGTCTCAGATCATAGACCCATAATAATTGAATAAACAGGTCTGTAAAGGAAGATTCAATTTTCTGGGTCTTAATAGAAAATTAATGAAACGAAAAAAAAATTGCTAACAATTTTATTTCAACAGAACAAATACCACAGACTACGGAAAAGTTTTATAAAGCTGGAGTGGTTTACTTGCAATGTTTTATTTGAACTCTAAAAGAAAATTATCTTTTAAGTGTTATTTCCATGTTCTCATATTCATTAGGGGAAATCTAGTGTTACTCCTGTGTTAATAGGCTTTGGTGTTTCTGATGATTTCCATTTGCCTGACAGTTTTAAATATTACAACCTGTGCACTCTTTTTACAACCATACAATTTCCCAAAAGTAGACAACATATGCAATGGGAAGTTCCTTTATCTTAATTCATCTGAAGTCTACATTCTGTTTTGGTATTTGGCTTCAGTCAGAAATAAATTCTCTAGAGTGCCCAACTGAAAAAAACAGAAAAAGTAGAAGTGAAACTCAGCTCATTTTCAGCCTTCTGGGAAGCTATTTTTAAATGATTCTATATGCCACTCAGGAAACCTGTGATTTCTGCAGGTTTATTACTGAATGTGTAGATGAGGACATGGAGTTTGGAGGCAAAATTATGTTCACAACCAAGCGAGACAGAATAACATCTACGAAATTCTGATGTAGTTCTGTTGACTTTGTGTACAATAAATTAGATTTAATAATGCAGAACACCTTATTCCCAGCAGAGCACTTCCACTGGAGTGTGGCTCATGACAGACAAAAGACTTCAGACACTTGACTCAGTTCTTTGGCTTGATTCATATCAATTTTTCCTCCTGATCTGTTTCTTATTTTCAGGAAAAGCGAAGACAAGCATGGATACCCTCCCTTTGAAATTCTTTCTGTCTATTACAGCCTTACATTCAGACTGCTCAAATGATGTGGAAGAAACATGGTTCTGCCTTGCCCCTTATGACC